TTTGATATTTATATCGGAGAAAACGGTATTATTTGCAAACAAATGCTCAAAACAATCAACTGTTTTGTCATGTCTTCTAGACCCACCTCTAGAGAAAACAGATATGTTAAATGGCTGTTGTCGTCGCACAGAATCCATCATCGAATCTGATTTGTCGTGACGACCAGAGCTGTTTATCATACCCACGTGTTCATAGGTTGAATGTCTTTCAGCATGGCTATTTGAACACCCTACAACCGATAATTTAGTAGTATGTACGAAACATTAGACTTAAACATTGTAAACCGCCCTGAAAAGACCTAGTTATTTTACAATTATTTCACGCACATATTTAATACAATGCATTAAAGTAAAACAAAATAATTCCAAGTAACCCAAATCATGTAATACTTGATATCATTTTATTAAATAAAATTGTCCTTAGTTCGGATGACGTAAACAATCGTAGTAAAAATTCAAGTTGTAATTCTTGGCAGACTGTAGAATTCACATAGCAATACATGCAATCCTCACTGAATACGACCAGTATACATAACAGTGGGGCATACAACAGATATGTTTGTTTTATTTAAATAGTGATGCCAGTCGTGGCTTTAATATCCTGCTGTGTAATATAAAATTAGGTCATACATGTCTATCTGACCCAGTGTTATTTAATATGTACAAGCGTTTGTGACCCATTTCATGTCTCGGCGAATACAGCCGTTTATAATTTAACCCACCGGGACACGTAATAGTTATGTGCTCAAACCGGTTACAGCAAACAAGTTATTGTTATATATATATATATACGGTTATTTAACTTATCAGCTTAACTTAAGGTGGTTTGCGGAGATGTAAAACGCACTTGGCCACTCCTATTCGAGTATATCTGTATTTATTTTTATGTGTGATTTGCCGAATTGCCAGTGGGACGACGATTGTTATGCAGATAAATTAAAAACAATAATTATACAGAATTGAATATTGATATATATGGTAAATATTGAGGACTATATTTAGTACTTCATTTTTTTCTTTGAATTAGAATTTTAGATATTTATTGTAAATTACAGTCGTGTATATATCTTGAAGCTTACGGTATGTGACTTATATTTTCTGTTATTTAAGTTCGGTGATTATTTGTAATACTGTTATTGTGAAAGTTGGAATTATATATAGTATATCAGAGTAACTTTGCAGGAGTGTATACATTTGTCGTTTGTTGTTACCTCGTCGTTCAACGTTTTCCGTATTGGAAGTTACCCCTCCAGATTTGAGCCGAGTTCCCGTACTTATCCCGACTGTGATTTGGTACGCCCTCAGTACTTCCTAGTCATTGGAGAGTTTAATTTTCTGTTTTTGTATTGATGTAGAGACGCACATTATTTGATTGCCCCTCCCCTCGAGTAAATGACTATGAACGATTTTTCGCGTTTTCCGGGAATGGGGAATTTTTGTTTAATTCTCAAATGAAATTACAGTACAGTCAGATACTGTATTTTAACGAGTTTCGGTGTTTTACGTCAAGAATTATCAATTTAATGTTACTTTGTTATTTAAAATGCCCAAATAAAGTAATCTTTTGAAAACATTGTGTCGAAAGAGTTTGTCGAAATAATATTAATACAAATTTGAACACCAATAATATGAGTGACACTCGTTCTACCGTGAAGTCGTATCTCGTCTCCGCCAGTTCATCGGCCACTTATTCCAATCATCATAATCAGATCAGTTATATGATCATCCACCGATCATATTAGTCCCATTTACGTAAACAATACATATGCCACGATAATTGGTACGTTGTACTATTATTCACTGTGATATTACTATAATTGTTAATGACACTTTTACCACCAGTTTGAGTAAAATGCTGATATATACATGTAATGCAATCAGGCCTGAATGCAACTTTTTTCATCGTTTCGATTTGACAAATAAAGCATGTCTACAGCAAAAGAATAATAATATTAATTACAAATAATCACAAAAAAGGTAATTTGACAGAACAAAAACTAATTCAGAAAATAATTCATAGGTAACATATGTCAATAGTGACAGGACCGAGGTCAAACATGTGAAAGAAAGGTCAAGTTTGATACATTGTATGTCAAACACACCATGATAGGAAAGCACAGCTCATGTCAGATCAAGGTGTGGAGATGAATCTCTGTCCCAACATTATCATAAACATATGTGATTTCCAATAACCTACTGTCAATAGCGGTTTCACCTAGTTACCCATGGCCCGAGTTCACAGTATAGGAAGTCTATGGGGTGTATGCACTCTTGCATACAAACCCAATAGTTCCATTTAGACAAAATTGAGCAGCTAGCAGAAGCAAGATGTTTATATTCTGTGTCCAAGATTTGGCTGACCAAGAGCACAAACTAAGATGTTACTAAGCTTTAACTAGATATTTTCATTGGTGATTGGAGGGTATCAAAGAGTCACATGTTGCACCCAGGTCAAAACTGTTACATGATTTTCATTAGAAGAGCGCATTACAATGTAGACAAATTTAAGATTGAATGCCTTATACTGGCTGTGAACGTGTCTGATATTACCACAGCACCCCAACTGGACACAAGGCCACCCCTTCGAACACGACTTGACTTCATAACTAGAAAGTAATTGAGATTTCCCTGTTCAAACATCTGGTTCTTAGTCTCAACAAGATTGGTCTATACAGTGACTGCATCTATGTAAATGTGGTAAACTTTTGACATATAGTCGCGTTTTTTCAATAAAGTAAAATATATAAATGGCGAAAGCCGGATAACACCTGAAGCTTGTATTAACTTCATAGTACAAAAAAAACAGATGGCAGTGATTAACCAATGTTTAGAAATACCTAGTGACTGCAAAACGGCTAGCGTCTCAGAAAGTGGCAAACTCTGCAATGAGGGTAGACCTCCTGGTCTGGCTATTGTAAATTACTTTATTTTCACTTCAAATAAAATCCAGGGAAAATTTCGGTGTTTATATATCCAACTCATCAATCAGTAAAAATAAAAATGTCTGCAGTTATGTCTATGTCCCAAGGGAAGAAATTGAAGATCATGTTTTGTTGAAATTGCAAAATAGAGTTTTTAAAGTAGTTACAATGTTACCATGGCAACAGACTAATTGACCATTTGAGTAGGTAGATTTAAACAGACAAGACAACACAAAACAAGATTTTTGATATGTTTGTTTTTTTTATTACGAGTAATACCCACTCTTAATAGGGGCAGAAATACTTTTTTTTGGTTGAAAGTTAACAATATACAAAACAAAAATTCAAGTATTTTAATAGCACTTTTTCAATGATGAACAGCCAACACCAGTAAAGGGTATTATGATTTGCCACGGTACGAGTACGGGTACGGGTACGGGTACGGGTAGTAGCATTTACTGTTCTAGAAAATAGACCTAAACCAACATAGTAGAAAGTATAATCACTTCTTCGTCATATTCATAGTATACTGATAGATACAAAATAATAAAATTCTCATGTTTATAACACAAGACGTATAACATAATGACAATATAACAAGTAAGGGCTACTACAAATAGGCACATTCAACATTGCTACTGTATTCTGATCTATAATGGTTTTGTCAGTAATTAAATCAGAATAGTCAAGGAACTATTCTTTTTTTGGGGTTTCAAAAGTTCATTGTGGGACAATATAATGTTGCGAGAAATGTAATTTGAATCTAATTTTCATATTAAAAATAAAATCTTGACACAATATAACGAAGGGTTTAGAGTATCTCAATTATTGCTTGCAGTTGAGTCTTTGAATTTTGTCCATTGATATACAATCAAAAACCCATCTGCCCTAGATTGAACAGAAGCATCACCTAAATCTATATACACTTGAAAATAAATTTAATTAAAAAGTTTATTTTGAATGTCAACTTTTTTTCCACAAAGTCTAATGTTTCTAAAAATACATATTTTTCTTTACAAGAGATTATTTTCACATAGAAAATGTTATCTCCAATGCTGAGTATCATGAATACACAAATAATAGACTGAACCACTCCTCCAATACATACATTTCATGAAATCAATGGTTGCAACTTAAGAACGACTTCAGGCAAACATCATAAAGCAAATTGATTACCTCAAAAATACCTGGGGGCAAGAAAACTTTTACATTTTTGCTTTACAAATTAGCTTATGAGCCTCATCCTTTGAAAAAAGTTCCACATTTTTTCAATCCATATCATACAATATTGCAGCCTCTAAAAATGGTTGTGTGCAACAAACTGGAAGTATAAATTGTCCAGGAAATAAAATTTACACAGTAAAAACAGTGAAACCTCACAGACAGTCCAGGTCAATCTTCAAAAAGACTACTGCATTGATTGTCTATTGTACTTCAGTTCAGTTACAGCAGTGAGGATTATCCTGAAGTTCATTTAACTGTGTCTTATTTGCCTCATCAGTGGCACAAGTGAAGAACCAGGACTAGCTTGACGTAAGAAAGGATGTTGAAGCAATTCAAAAGCTGTTGCTCGTTGGGTTGGATCTCTTACTAACATTTTCTCTATGAAACCTTGAAGTCTTGGCGATACCTGCAATGAGAAATTTGTTGACTTGGTATTTTACACCTAATGTATACAGTAACTACAATAATTAACCTTTCAGTCAATCTACCAACACAGATTGTGGGATTTCTAAGATTCTCTCGAAGTATTTACCAATAAAACTGGCACAACAAATAAAGCAATTTTAGATAAAATACCACTGATCTCTCAAGTACAGCAAAACATACCTCACTGCAAAATACAGGTAGGTCTGAGTGAATAAAAAAAGATAGTCTTACCCTATGTGTGTTTTTCAACTTTGGTGGTGGCATGTCTCTGATACGTCTCATAGCTTGTAGAGGTGGTTCATTGAAGAATGGTGGTTCACCGTCCACCATTTCCATTACCATAATTCCCATAGACCATATATCAACCTGGCAATATAATATATCAAATTTACTGAAATAAGTTAAAGTATTTTTATTCTGTTTTAAAAAGAATTAACCAGCACATATTTGTTGCCGATGTTTAAATGCAACAACTAATAATGAGTACTATTATTTTTAAGCAATAGTAACTTTCAGAATTTATTAATAAAATGTTAAACTGCAACTGAAAGAAAGTATAAGGAAGCCATATCAGATTCTGATGCAAGTATTAATTGCATGTTACATAGTTTGCTTACCTCTGGTCCGTAAGGTAATCTAGATATAACTTCTGGTGCCATCCAGTATGGTGTTCCAACTAATGATTTTCTCTTTGGCATATCTGTTGACACTTGTGCACAGAAACCAAAATCCGACAACTTTACCTGGTAATGCAATAGAGAGCTGAATCAGTACAAACCACAATCAAACATAAATCATACTAATGTACATTAACTCTATATATTCACTCCTAATCCAACATGTACAGACATCACTCAAACACATGCAAAGAAGCATTAAGCCAGGAATGTGTATATTGATGTTGAGTTGTCTTGTTTCAAGTAACACAATGACGATGATTAGACATACAAGTCTGGCATCTATTTAAAACTGCTATAGAAAAAAGTGTCATGTCTGATTAAATTATGATTTCTTCTACAAAACATGCTCATGTGTTTGGCAATTCATTGTATACCCCTAAGACAAACTGTACATTTGAGATCCACAGAAAAATGTGTTGTTATCTTGGCATTCTTAGTTATAAAATTCATTTGTCCACAAGATTCATAGACATACATTGAACTAATGTGATCATTTTCACAGTAGGCATATGATCTTACCTTGCCATCATGGGTTAAAAGTATACTGTCACTTTTAATGTCTCTATGTATAACACCTTGTAAATGGAGGAATGATAATGCCTTCAATACAGATTTACAAACAAATGCTACTTGCTCCTCATCCATCCTGCAAGAAAATAAAACAGGTGGCATTAGAAATTTGAGATACTCGTTCATTTGATTAACTTTATTTCAAAAATGCTGCATTACATTGAGTGACTAGTAAGGGTGAAAGAGGTGGCCAATATCGCAATACTTTCAGGGATACATTTTGTTTTTCTATTTAACATAGAATTAGTGATGTTGCCCTATGATGACAAATTTGAATATTACATTTTTCATAATTGGATCTTAGGCATATTGGTACAACAGTTTAACCACTGCATTAAGGGTATGATGCTTACCTTGCATGTGTAACTATGTCAGTGAGTGCACCACCTTCTAAGAATTCCATTACTACCCACAGTTCATCACCAACTAAAAAGCTATCGTACATTTCCACTACATTGGGATGTTTATAATCCCTCATTATCACCACCTATAAGGTAAGACACAAACAATAATGCTGTAACTGTAATACAACCAGTGATGAGAAAACAGAGTAGAGACTATACAATGAGGTTGGTGTGACAAAATATTACAATGTCATGCTTGATTGCTTATGGCAATGTTTTCTTTTGGAATAAGCAAATGTAAAAAGGGCAAATATTGTGGCTGTCTATCGCACACATTTGATCAGGTCCAAAAAACTGTGAGCACTGTGTCTGTGTAATGGTAACACAAGTAAGAGACTATGGTAGACTGTAATATGAATATAAATTAGTACATAGTCTGTTTCGGTAGAGAAGTCTGGCATCAATGTATAATAAGAACAATCCACACTAAACATGTACTGAAACACCCTTTATATAGGGTTAATAGGATTTACACCTCGGAATTTAAAATTGGAGGGAAACACTGTGATTGGTTTGCCATGTGAGAAGGTGACTATTAAAGGCCCAGGTATACTATAAATACGCTCCTAAACAA